GACCAGTAGTAAACACTCAAAGCCATCCTCTTCCTCCATGACCACGCCTGTTACAGAGAAACGCAGGAAGGTGAGGCTGAACTTGTTTCTCAGACTAAGTGATGGGAAACCAGCTTTTGTCCATGTGTCAAAGGATTTCTAATCATTATTTCTCCAGGTAGTGGATGTGGTTCCCACACTGCCTGATATCCCTTTGCCAGCCATCCAGCCCAACTACAGACCACTGCCCTCCATTGATCTTACACCACTGTCCCCCCAGAGGCGCAAAGGTATGTGGTTTTTGGTTTTATAACCTAAAAGAATCTGAATTAAAAACAATCTTTAAGTGTATAAATCCCAATTATTTTTTTCTGCATGGACTCATGTTTTTCTCCACCAGTCCCACTGTCATATGAGGAAGAGGATGGTGGCTACGCAGGGCGAAGACTGAACTCTAAAATGGTGGTGTACTCTGGGTCCAAGACTTCGTATTTGCCGAAAATGATGTCTCTGTATGAACAGTGCATCAGAGTCCTACAGAACAATATAGATTGTAAGTTTTCTCATTCTCTGATCATTTGTTATAATAGTAATTATTGATTAAATGTTTTAGTATAGTCTTTAGCCCTAATGTGCTATTACTGGGTCAGTTAAACTCTATATAATCAAGAGTCGCAGTCTGATGTATGTGAGAAATGTGAAGACACCATGTTCAAATCACATCTGTAAAGGATGCCATGATGTTTCAGGCTGGCTGAAGTATTAACCACCAATTGACCTGAAATGAATCAACTTTTTACTGGTATTTCTTGCATTCTCTTAGCAATAGATGAAGTGGGTGGAGTGCCATTCGAGATTCTGGAACCAGTTCTGGAGAGATGCACTCCTGAGCAGCTTTACCGGATTGAGCAATGTAATCCAGTATGTGTCAAAACAGTCACATGCAGATGATTTATTTCACAGTTCTAATCTAATCTCTGATCTGGTTCTCTTACTAAACTGCTTGTGTCTTTTTTATGTATTCTATTCAGTTTTGAAACCATGTACACTACTGTTCAAACGTGTGGGTCAGTAAGATTTTTTTAAAGAAATGAATACTTTGATTTAGCAAAGATGCATTCAGTTGATCAACAGTGACAGTAAAGACATTTGTAATGTTACAAATGATGACAAATAATGTTTCAAATTTGTAGTATTTCAAATAAATGCTGTTCTTTTGTACTTTCTATTCATCAAAGACTCCAGGAAAAAGGTATGATGGTTTCCACAAAAATCTGTTTTCATCATTGATAAGAAATGTTTCTTGAGCACCAAATCAGCATATTAGAATGATTTCACAATATTCTTAAAATGTTACTGTATTTTTGATCAAATAAATGCAGGCTTGATTAGCATAAGATATTTTTTCCCAAAAACATTTTAAAAAATCTTATAGACCCCAAACTTTTTTTTTTACATTCTCAGTCATAATACTTATCTTAAGAACAACACTGAATTCAAAGTTTTCTGGTTAGGACTTTGCATGGTGATTTATTAGGGCTTATTTTTGGACTAATCTTTAATTTCAAGCCTCTCTACTCAGTATTTCACAGAAGAGTCAGATGATCTGTGGATGAAACACTGCCAGCGGGATTTTAAACATGACCCTCGACAAGAGTATGAATCCTGGAGGGAGCTGTATCTCCGGCTCCATGAAGAAAGGGAAGAGCGTCTGCGCAAGCTCACAGAGAACATCACCTCTGCCCATGCAAAGAAACCTAAAGGTACACACAGGCAGTAATCAATACTCTTAGATCAAACTTGTTGCATAGATCTTTGCATAGAAAATGTTAACATTGTAGCTCAGTGAGTGCAATAAAAATGTAGGCGAGGATTAAGTAAACTGTTCACAATAATAACAACTCCGTGTTTTCTCTGTATTGTTCACTTCTAACAGGGCGGCAGGTTAAAATGGCTTTTGTCAACTCTGTCGCTAAGCCTCCGCGAGATGTCCGCCGTAGACAGGAGAAGTTTGGCACTAAAAATGGTTCTACCAGCACAAGCGCTGCTCCTCCATCTGCCAAGTAAGTGAATGCTGCATTAGTCACAAAGATATCATTAGTCATGTAGATGAATCTTTATCATGACGTTTTAGCTGACAATCTGCTTTTCTTCCAAACAAAAAAAGAGAAGGATTTTATTTAGTTTTTTGTAGCTCCATTGAAATATTATGCTAATTCTTCATATACAGGATCAGACCAGCAACAAACTACAGTGCTTACAGCAAATCCAGTGATGGTGGTCAGTCTTCTTTTAGCAGCCCCCCTGAGTCCTCCTCACGCCCTTCTGCTCCCAGCAGTGCTGGTGCTCACAGTGCCAGAGACAAACCGCAGGTCAAAAGTGAGTCTAAGAGGAAATGTTGTTGCTGTTAAATGTTTATCTTTACATATTTATTTTACAGATATTTATGTATTGTATATTCACCGTTAATGTTATTAAGCTCATGTCCAATATTTGCTCATTTAAATGCTTGAACGGGTTGTTTGAATGTGTTTTACCACTTTTTCTGCTCTTTGTTTTTCAGAAGTTGCTCCAATGATGGCTAAGACTATCAAGGCATTCAAGAACAGATTTTCTCGACGGTAAAAGGAAAAATGTTTTTGTGTGTGTGTAATAGAAGAGAGAACGACTGGAAGAGGAATTTTTTTTTTGCTGTAATGCTTCATAGGAAATGTGCAATGCCCTCTCGCCTCTTATCTTTTTATGCTTTTTAATATTATCAGTACAGCTCACTGGACGCAATCACAGAAAATATCTGCATCAACAACCATCCACACTCAATTATGTCATAGCATGTTGTAAGCATTTTACAAACACTGAAAACAAGTGGTACACTACAGATTACCATGTGACACCAAAACCCAGACTCTGTTATGTTTATTTAATTGCTTACAGTAATCATTGCATTTTCATGGGACTAAGTATACGATTTTATTGGAGAGTGAGAGGGAGAAAGAGATGAGATGTAAAAAGTTCAAGGATTTTACACTTCCACACCACCATATTTATTTTAAATCTTGGACCTGGCAGTCCTGGACCTTGCCTTGAATGAAAGATCAAGTCGTTTTAATAGATTTTATGAAGTGTTCTATGGACATTTTTAATAAAATCCATGTGTTGCTCTCACCATGTTCTTATTTATGTATATATTTATGGGTGTTTTACATCGTGGTTATGTTTTAATTTTCAGCTTTTCATTATTACTCTGTCCTATCACCTAAAATGGAAATTATGTCATTTTTTACTCGGTCTCGTGTTGTCCCAACTTGTATGACTTCCTTTTCGTCAGTGGACCACTAAAGACAGTAAAAGGTGGCTGTCATTATGCCAAAAACATCTAACCTTTGTGTTAAAGCTAAAAAAGATAATGATACAGGTTTAAAACAACATTAGACCGAGTAAATAATGTCGTAATATGTATTTTACTGTATCACTTCAATGGCACAGCTTGTTTTCTTTCCACTTTATTTACGATGACGCGAAGCGATCAACGAGACGTTAATGCGTCACAAGAACGCGACTCCAAACACTACTCCTCATTGGTTCCCTTGTTTTTTGTGGTCCAATCACGTTCCACGTTTCGTATTTGCGTGTTGTGTACTTCCCCACTTCTACCACCTGTGTAACTACGATTTTAGCATGTCACAGAAGGTTCTCATTTTTACAATGTCTTATACATTCATTTAATATTGTTTTGCATTATTACCTTAGGTAAAAAAATCTGACATTAAAAACCACAAAATGTGTTTTAATTGAGTCCTCAAAGTGTGTAACATTGATGGATTCATGTAATTTGTGTAAAAAGAAACTGAGAACTCATATTAAGCAGATGTCTGCAAGTACAAACTTGTGACCCGCACAGCCACCAGCAGAAAATGAACCTCTGTCTGTATGATTAACATAAGCGTCAGAGCTTATCCAGTAGGTTAAATCACCCTGTAATTTTTACATTACCTTTCAAAGTGCTTTTTCTTTTTCACGTCTAGGTGCTCTGCAGGTGCAATAGAGCAATTTGAGCTTTAGATGGGCATGAATTGCTAGTTGAAATGACTCTAGTAAGTAACACTGGTAATTAAACCAACTTTTGTTAATCATTCTGCAGCCTGCTGACCGTTTCTTTCTAAAAATCGTCTGGTTCGTATCATTAATATCCAACACTTATTGCCTGGGCCTTTTTATTTTGCATAAACCTGTTGTACTGATTGCATTTGAACATTTTGTCTTTGTATTTTCCTAAAAGCACTCCTCACATTGTATGTGTGGCAACAACATGTCTGTACCCCTGCTCTCTGAAGCCTTGACAGTGCCTGGGACGGAGAAGGAAACGGCTGTGGTGAGAGACCAGTCGAATCATTAACTAAATTCTAATCTTTTCCAAGTTATTCATTAGCATTACACAGGCCAGCCTTCAAATAAACCAAATCTATGACCTTAGATCTTCGAAGTTTTGGTTACCTAGACTTTAAAAGAGAGACAGACCTCTCAGGTTTCATTAAAAATATCTTAATTTGTCTCTCAAATATTAACTAAAGCCTTAACTAAGGTCATGAGGGTTCTGGTATTTAGTGGAGAATGCAGATGATTTGATAGAAGTATTTGATAACATGTGCAGTATTAAATGCAGACTGACCCATAAAACCAAGACTGGCACGTGGAGTTAATTCAAGTGTTGAAACACTAAAGGTTTAAACTTGTGATACGGTCACCCAGGCCACTCAAAGACGAATGAAACCATTAAACTGGAGAGTTTTGCCTCCTGCAGCTGTCAAAATTCAATTTCTTAGTGCTGTCATGTGATTCCAGGAAATCAGGGACCCGTGGTTTTCATTTTAGGCTGCTTTAGAAACCGTTTTCTGAGAACTCATATTAAGCAGATGTCTGCAAGTACAAACTTGTGACCCGCACAGCCACCAGCAGAAAATGAACCTCTGTCTGTATGATTAACATAAGCGTCAGAGCTTATCCAGTAGGTTAAATCACCCTGTAATTTTTACATTACCTTTCAAAGTGCTTTTTCTTTTTCACGTCTAGGTGCTCTGCAGGTGCAATAGAGCAATTTGAGCTTTAGATGGGCATGAATTGCTAGTTGAAATGACTCTAGTAAGTAACACTGGTAATTAAACCAACTTTTGTTAATCATTCTGCAGCCTGCTGACCGTTTCTTTCTAAAAATCGTCTGGTTCGTATCATTAATATCCAACACTTATTGCCTGGGCCTTTTTATTTTGCATAAACCTGTTGTACTGATTGCATTTGAACATTTTGTCTTTGTATTTTCCTAAAAGCACTCCTCACATTGTATGTGTGGCAACAACATGTCTGTACCCCTGCTCTCTGAAGCCTTGACAGTGCCTGGGACGGAGAAGGAAACGGCTGTGGTGAGAGACCAGTCGAATCATTAACTAAATTCTAATCTTTTCCAAGTTATTCATTAGCATTACACAGGCCAGCCTTCAAATAAACCAAATCTATGACCTTAGATCTTCGAAGTTTTGGTTACCTAGACTTTAAAAGAGAGACAGACCTCTCAGGTTTCATTAAAAATATCTTAATTTGTCTCTCAAATATTAACTAAAGCCTTAACTAAGGTCATGAGGGCGACTAAGTGATGACAAAGTTCATTCTTTTAATAGTCATCATACAACTTGTACTGTTCCTCAGATTCACATTTACAGTCCAAATCTTCAAATAGGCTGCCTGCCTGCTGCCTTTTTTATTGGAAGAAAAGGGTGAATAGATTCATAGAAAGCTGAACGACTAAGTGATGACAAAGTTCATTCTTTTAATAGTCATCATACAACTTGTACTGTTCCTCAGATTCACATTTACAGTCCAAATCTTCAAATAGGCTGGCTGCCTGCCTGCTGCCTTTTTTATTGGAAGAAAAGGGTGAATAGATTCATAGAAAGCTGAAGTTTGCTATTGAGATAGTATCTTCATATAAAATAACCACGAAGTCAGCATCAGACAGGAAATCTGGCCTCATTTGGGCTTTGCAGAGATAAGTTTCACATCTGTATTATTCTGTAAACTTTGCAGGTGATCTTCCTTCATGGCTTGGGCGACACAGGGTACGTTCTGTTTATTACTTGCCTGTTGCAGGATCTTTTAATACCCCCTGGCCTGGTGTAGAAATAACCCTGTGGTGTTACTTATTATAGACACGGCTGGGCTGATGCCATGACGTCTATTCGACTGCCATACATCAAATACATCTGCCCACACGCGTAAGTGGAAACCTGTGAAATATTTTTTTGATGTGTTGATTGTTATGCAATACAAAAATGTTAGTGTCACTTGATTTACTTTGTCATTTATTGACCATAAGCCTATCATACTTTGACTCTAGACCCCGAATCCCTGTAACTCTCAACATGAAGATGACTATGCCCTCATGGTAAGTTTCCTCTGCTGTAGATAACATTACAATTTAGTACATTAACATAAAAGCGCAGTGGTAATTAAAACTTGAGAATAAATAATGCCTAGGTTTTTGATAAATGTAAAACAAAGAAAATTTATGAAGTAAAATGAAGAAGCCTTTCAGATTCTGTACTCTTATTGGTAATTAATCAAATCAAGTGGCTCTTTGTACACATGGTCAGATGTTACATACTTGTGGTCAAAGCAAAGAGGGACAAACAAAATACTAAGACATTCTGAAATTCATTTTAGTTTTAAATTGTCATGTTACTCAAATTGTTATACTTAAGTTATAACAAATATTTAATATAATATACACTACTGTTCAGTCAGAAAGATTTTTGAACGAAATTAAAACTTTTATTCAGTAAAGATGCATTATTGATTAAACGTGACAGTAATGAAATATTTTTTTAAATAAATGTTCTTTTGATGTATTATATTATATGGGAAAATTGTATTAATAATATGCTAAATAAAAGCATTTTCACTATTGGACTCTTGGATTTCTCCCTTAATTCTTGTATAATGTTTTTCTTTTCAGGTTTGATCTGACAGGCTTAAGCCCAGAATCACCAGAGGATGAAGCAGGGATTAAGAGAGCAGCAGAGAACAGTGAGCAACATTTCTTTTTGTACACACGTGCACATTGGGACAGTTTCCTGAATACAGCTTTCCCATCACTAACAAGCATCCAAACATTTGCTTAGTCTGTGTCATCAAATGTCACGTCACGTTCATGAGGCACTTCATGCCAGAGAATATTGTTATATGTTGAAATTTGATTATGTGGCACTAAGTGTAGACCACTCTTTTTCTTCAATAGTAAAGGCCATCATCGATCACGAGGTAAAGAATGGTATACCATCCAATCGTATCATTCTTGGTGGCTTCTCTCAGGTAAGTGATCCATCTTGAAAGTTAGTACTATCACTCAAATGGCTGACACTGCAGGTGCTTTTTAGTTCCTCTTTTGCTGTCTGTACTCTTCAGGGTGGAGCTCTCTCTCTCTACACCGCTCTGACCTCTCAGCAGCAACTAGCGGGTGTTGTCGGACTTAGTTGTTGGCTTCCACTTCACAAGACTTTCCCACAGGTACAAAATGTCAGCAGTGAGTTTGTGTGAGGATAAATATGTATATATGTAAATAGGTATGTTTGTCAATATGGATCTACTTTTTTATCCATTAGGCTGCAAGTGGGAGTGGAAACAAGGACACTCCCATTCTGCAGTGTCATGGCGAGATGGATCCCATGATTCCGGCGCAGTACGGGGCCATGACGGCAGAGAAGCTCAAGAACATCGTTTCCCCACAGAATGTCACCTTCCGCACCTACCCGGGTCTCATGCATAGCTCTTGTCCTCAGGTGAGACTCATCTGTTACACTCACAGAAACCTAAATTTGACATGTTTTACCATGTTCAAATTCAGTATGCACGCTTTCACAGACCCCCCCAAAATAACAACAACAAAAAAAGCCTAATTCTTTTAGACCTATCTATATGTCTGCTTTTGATTAGTAATTTTTATTACTACATTACTTTTTGACGTTTTTGAAAACAGTTTATTATGTTCATAAAGGCTGCATTTATTTGATAAAAAAACAGTAATATTGTGAAATATTTTTACAATTTAAAATAACTTATCTGTTTATATTTATTTTAAAACGTAATTATTCCTGTGATGGCAAAGCTGAATGTTATGTTCTTTTGCTTGAATAATCTAAAGTTATTCATGTATTCACAGAGTTGTGAGATGTAAATAAAAATGCAGACTGGGTTTCACGTGAACAAAATATACATAGGCCTACTACCCCATAACATTTAAACGGTTTATTATTGCTTTACTAATAATATTACGCATTATTAATATAGACTAAAATAAAGTTAAAAATAAAGAAAATAGGCTACTAAAGAAAATAGATTTAATAAAGGAAATATATTAAATACAGAAAGGAATGAAAGACAAATAATACAGAATAAATTCAGGACAAAAAAATATTTATTTTTAAAAAGTTATTTATTTTTATTTATTACTTTTAAGTTATGCATGTATGTCAGATTTTTATTTTTGCAGATGTGTACTCCCATAATTGTTTATTTAATTTTTTTTAATAAAATTAAATTATTTATAACGCTACTGATATGACTCATGTAAGTGTATATGATGAGGTTTTCAAATGTACAAGATACTGGGTGGACCTTGATATTATAGACATTATGTCTATGCTTGATATAAGATAATATTATACTGTGCCTCATACTTCTCGGTAGGTGGCAGTGAGTGGCTCTTAGACTCGGTCTGTCATCTACCGTTAACACCGCGAAGGAGACGCAGATTATTGTCCTATGAAATGAGAGCATGACCAGCAAACACAGGCACGAGCACCACCCCTATGATTATACAGTTCTTTATCATTTCTTTTTACATAATCTCTGACATGATCGAAGGTCTGCCGTCCGATAACAATGCTGATCTAAGCTTTTGACAAGCCGCTTGTTCTGGCCATTTGTTGTGCCAACGCTTAGTGGATACGTCCAGATCAGTGATGAGGTACGTGTGTGAATGTTTGTGTGTTGGTAGCTCATGTCAACACGCCTTGGTGTCGAAATCTCCGCTTGACCAGCTTAGGAGTGTGGAAAATTAAAGCTCTGCTTTATCAAACATGCGTTTGTTGGTAGATGGCTTTAATGCAAGGGGTCTGTCAGTCATAGACCGGTACTGATGAACTGAACTGATGATGCTGATTAGCTGTCGACACATCCTTAAAAAACTACAGGTAGAGGTTCAAAGCGAATGTTAAACGATCAGCCCAGTTTTATTCTTAGAGAATTGTTGCAAATGCTTCATGAGAAATTTAGCTAACAGAGAGAAACCGCTGAAAACAAATGAGCAAGTCACAGAACTAGTATGCAGCGTTTATCTTCATGCATTGTGATGGATTACATGAAACTCAATCTTTTGTGTCTGTTAGAATATTATTAAGTAACTGTTTTCTTTTTGAAACCGTTAAGTAATCTGTAAACAACGTGTGTAATGTGTTTTATGTGTTTAGCTTGTCACCATGTTGACTTTTTGTGTATTGTTAAAGTAGTTCACTCAAAGAGAAGATTATGTCATCGTTTACTCACGCTCATGCTGTTGCAAACCCGCATGACTTTCTTTCTTTTGAAGAACACAAAAGGAGATGTTGTGCAGCATGTTAGCCATGTCACAATTCACTTTTGTTAAATATGCAGTGGGTCACACTTAAAAGGGTCATATGATGCGATTTCAAGTTTTCCTTTCTCTTTGGAGTGTTACAAGCGGTTCGTGAATAGATAAGATCACTTAAGTTGCAAAGACTGAAGTCTCAAACCCAAAGAGATATTCTTTATAAAAGTTAAGACTCGTCCACACCCTCCTAAATCGCCTCGTTCTAACACGCCCCCACATGTCTACCTCACTGTGTGGGAAGATTTGCATAACGCCGCCCAAATGTTCATGCAAAGAAAGAAGGCGTAACTTTGATTCTCGCTGTAGTATTGTTGCTGCCGCCGCCATGTCGAGAAGACTCTGTGTGTTTCGTTGTGAAAGCGAAACTACTTTGTTTGATCTTCCAAAAGAGGACACGACTAGAAATCTGTGGTTAAGTTGTATTTACAACACTGTTCCAGAACAGCTCAAACCAAGTATTCAGATGTGTGCAGCGCATTTTATGGAGGACGAGGACTGTTTCCTGATCCTGGTAGAGTAGACTACAATGGCGATGTTCCAGTGAATTCAGTTCCCCTGTTTCCCCTTCGGTGCGCATGCTGACCCTATACAGTCTATGATGCTGACAAATAATGCTGACTCACAGACTGTAAGTACGTTTTCATATTTAAAGGATTTGCCACTGATGATTCAAACGTGAGTTTGAGCAGTGTAGAATAGCGCTTGTTGTTTGTCGTTTCTCCGATCACAAATGCAGACATGGTTTTATGTTTACGCGGCGCGATGCAACGCAATGTGTAAAAAGACGGTATTAGTCATTATAATCCATAATTATATCTCCACTGGATGCAGCAAATGCCTCGTTTATAATGGGTTTTAATGTTTTTGTCTCGTCGCTCCGGGACACAGCCTCACAGTATGGTAAGGGGCGTAACATTTCCGTCACACGCTTGAGGTATTCGGCCAATCACAACGCACTGGATAGCTGGCCAATCACAGCACACCTCGCTTTTCAGACCGATGAGCTTCGTAAAAATCGACGCGTTTCATAAAGGCGGGGCATAGAGGAGAAACAATAATGTACAGTATGTGGAAAATAATGTGTTTTTTTAACCTAAAACTGCATAAACACCTTTCATTACACCAAATACACAAAAAAATGTTTTTTTTAGCAACATCATATGACCCCTTTAACTACTGTCTACTAACATTATATTCATGCTACTGGACTATGGATTTGATATGTATCTACATGTTGTTCTGGAAAATCCCCACAAGTCTGAGGTATGGATTGCTTTTAGGAGTTAGGATAGGGTTAAGATTAAGGGTTACAGTTTTGGGATTACGGTTAGGGGTAACGTTAAGTGTAACTACAAATGTTAATTTAATGAGAGTCCTTTAAATGTAATAACCATGAACCAACGTGTATGTATATTATAAGTATATACACAGTAGTTAAAGCCACCTGATATAAAGCGTAACCGTGCAATGAAGGGGAATATTATCTGAGACTGTCAGTCCTTTACATTTCTTATTTTGTCTTCCAAAAATAATAGTAAAGGTTTGGTACTGTAACTTTAAATGTCAGGTTACTGTATGCTGTTCTTGTCTGCCATGGCAATTAATCAACCTGGAGTTTCAGACATTGTTAAAAGTGAAAACGGCAGTTGAGGATCATCTTTTAACACAAAGCCTGCATTGTTTGAAAGTAGCCCACTGCCTGTAAAATAAATGCAAATGGAGTTTTTCCATTAATGGACACACAGTATGTTTAATGATTGAGCTCTAGTGTGGGGGAAGCTTGTGGAACAGAAACGTTTCCCTCTCTTTGTGTGCCTGCCAAGTGCTGCTCTTAATTCATCTGTTCTGAGGCGTCCCACCTGAAAATGAGCCGTTCGACCACAAGTCCAAAGTGCGTTTATAATGATCCTTCTGAGTTCTAAAATGTGGTTTGTTTCTGATGTAACTCCACAGACATTTTTGTTGAATGCGAGTGAGATGTGAAATGACGTGGAAAAGAACAACAGAGCAGACAGAATGACCTAAAAAACCGGGTCGAACGCCCAGCTCCCACTCACTCATGCCCGATCAGTGCACCTGCTGCCGCCCTCTACTCTCCCACAACCCTCTCAAGCAGATTTATTAGAGCATGACATGATGCATACTGGATTATTTTGCTGATGAAACGTTATATATCCCTTAGGTCATGTAACCTTTTGAAAAGGTTTCTTTTTTTAGTGTACTCATACTATTTTTTTTTTTATCAAAAAGAGGCACAGCCGTTTTATCTGATGTAAATGTTTAGAAAAATAGGGTAACGATAAGATCAGATAAGGACACGTGCAAGATTGTTATTTGCACAATGTGGTCATATGCAAATAAGCATTTTGTGAAGCAGGCTGGTTTTGTTACGTTAGGGATTTCCATAAGATAGTAATGCGAGTTGGATAGTAGCTTGTTTATTTTTCGCACAGTTGCTGCGTATGAGTTATATATTCAAATCTGAACTGTATAATTATTTATGGTTTAATATGTTACAAAGCAGAGCACAGAGCACGTTTGTGTTGCTTTTCCACTGTTTTTATATGTCAACTTATGCTAGATGGACTTGTTTGACCATTGCAATCATGCTTGGCATCTTTCGCAGTGTCTCGCACATGACACAGCTTTCTAAAAACTCAAAAGTTATATTTTAAAAAAATGCTCCTCAAGACTTTCATACGATCCTAAGTCTCGTTGCACTGTTTCAATGGCCCCAATTAAGCCATCTGTTGGTTGATTTCACAGAAATGTGTAAACACGTCGGCAAACCCAACAGTCGATTTCATTGATCAACTGTGTCACCTGTCAAGAAATATTCAGACTATATGCACAGTTGCTGCGTATGAGTTATATATTCAAATCTGAACTGTATAATTATTTACGGTTTAATATGTTACAAAGCAGAGCACAGAGCACGTTTGTGTTGCTTTTCCACTGTTTTTCTATGTCAACTTATGCTAGATGGACTTGTTTGACCATTGCAATCATGCTTGGCATCTTTCGCAGTGTCTCGCACATGACACAGCTTTCTAAAAACTCAAAAGTTATATTTAAAAAAAATGCTCCTCAAGACTTTCATACGATCCTAAGTCTCGTTGCACTGTTTCAATGGCCCCAATTAAGCCATCTGTTGGTTGATTTCACAGAAATGTGTAAACACGTCGGCAAACCCAACAGTCGATTTCATTGATCAACTGTGTCACCTGTCAAGAAATATTCAGACTATAGATTAGGTTCAGAGTCCAGAAAGATTATTGATGGATCTGATCTGTCTTATTTTTATGCAAGATATTTAGCATTTCCATTTGAAAATGCTTGTGGTAATTTTGCACTTCAGATTTAAGCCTAACACTATTTTTGAGTCAAGCTTTGAGGTGAAGGTAATGGACTAGTGATGGGCATAGAGATTGTATATCACATTAGGAGCAAAACCTGATTTTCTGGTGTCAAATTTTTAAATAGAGATTGCAATATGGTGCTGTTGATTTTCCACATTGATTTTACATTTCATGATGTAACACAGTGAATAACAGATTCCAGACAATGTGATCGTGTTGATGTGTTTACAGGACTTGCGGTATGCGGCTTATCCACTCTCATGCTGGCTGAGTGCTGAAAACTTAATGTGGGTCGCTCTGCGACTCCCACTACAGCTCCTGCCATGGGGAATACCGCCACCAAGTTTCGTAAAGGACTTATCAGTGGAGACGAATTCCTGGCTTGCCAGCTTTATGAGAGCAACCCCCAATTTAAAGAGGCTCTGGAGCCCAACGCATCTTATGGGGAGCCCTATCAACACAACACACCCCTGCATTACGCCTCACGCCATGCCATGACACGCCTCATCAGGTAGGAACCTGTGAATGATGCACCGAAATACAGGCGTTAGCCTCTACTGGCCGTGATGTGGTTGTTTACCTTACATTTCATTGCCAGAGTGAATTTGACACCATTTAAAGCAAAACAAAGAACTATTATAATCAAAATTGTTATGACTAGTTATTAAATTATAATTTGTAAGGTACTAGTAGACATTACACAATGGTTCAAAAGTTTGTATCAGTAGTATTTTGTTTTAAGGAAATTAATCATTTAATTCAGCAAGGATAATAAATCGATTAAAAATGGCAGTAAAAATATAACCGTTTTGCTGACTTTTTTCAAAAACATAAATAAAACTTACTGACCCCAAACTTTTTAACAGTACTGTATGTGTCATGGCAAAACATATGAGCACATTTAATTTTAATATGTATCCTAACAATGAAAGGTAAGATTGTTAGACTTTTATTGATGTAATGGGAAGACCCAAACAGCACAGCAACATTTGTAGAGGTTTGTTGCTTCAGGGAGAACAAAAAAACACTGAATAACCTTCCCATGTTGGCCCCTAACAGACAGGACCTAAAGCAAATATGCATGGAATGGGAAGCTTATGGGGAGCCCGAGGTGTTTTTGTGCGATGCAAGGTTATTTTTGCATGGTTGTTGAATTCCATTGCTTGGTATTTGAGTCAAGACCGCTTGCAGCCATAAAGCCAACTCTGACTTAGTGTAGTAAATGCACCCCTCTGAGAAAATGGTTGGTAATTACCAGCTAGGACAGCTAGCTACTGAGGACTGTTTGTCCCTCCTCTTTCCTTTTCTCGTTCCTCTTTTCATTTTACAGCATGTTGGAGCACACTGCTAGCAACCTTACTGACTTCACAGCCTGATTGCTTCTCATTCTGATACATCAAGTTTATTGTAAAAGGCAGAATATAAGTTGATCTGTATAGTTTGTCATATCTTTACCTTTGACCATGATTTCTAGCCCACATTGCAGCTTATTCTGGTGTAATGGACAGAAAAAGAGCATCTGATTGACATTTAAAAGTGACCTACTTGTAAAGTGTTCTACTGTTCCGTTTATATGCAGATTTACAGACCATACCACACAAAAAAATCTTTTACTGAAGTTTGTACTGCACAGAGGGTTGTTTCCAGGCAGACTTGACCTCGAAGTTGCTTAAAACCAGCCAGTCAAATTAAAGCTTGCAAGGTCAAAAATTCTGTTCTACATGTGTCCTAGTTGAAAACAAATATGTTGACAAAACTACAAACATCCTAGCTAGAACCACCACCCAAACTGTAACGGCCAGTTTGAAGTGGTTATGTATTTAAAAGTTAATACCAGAGTTCTGTATTTTGTAACTGGACTTCTGATTCACTTTGAGGCTGCTACTGATTCTTGGAAAAACAGCCTGCCAGTCTAGACTACACCCAGAATTTTTGAGGCCAAATGCCACATACTCTGGCATCTGGCCTTAAGTATGTGTACCCTTTGTGTGGTCTTGTTTTTATAATGATCACACTTTAATTAGCTAGCATACAGCAGAACAAAGCACAAGATGTCTTTCACCTGTTTGTCTAGACATTATCCTTGGATGTTGGTGTCATTCCACCTCAAATGCTTGGCTTTGCATTTCATGATGTCGTTACAGCATTATTGCACTAAAGTTCTATTGTTATGTCTCGGTAGATTTAACAGTCGCGTAGTTAACAGGTGTCCATGTCAATTTCATGGTAGTTCAACCAGTCTTTCTGGCCTCCCAGGTGCAGTTTCAGTTGGAGAGCAGGGTTAGGGGAATGCTGGGAATTAGAGCTGTTGTTTTCAGTTGCATCAACTAATAAACTTGCCAGATTCACATCACAGACTTCCCAGAACAGCTCGCTGAGTCATTTCCACTCAAAGGCATTAAAGCCTGCTGAATGCAATCACTAAATCCACTCTTAAAGCTTACAAGGTTGTACATTCCTCTGAGGCCATTCTATGGTGTATTTGAAACCTGTTATCAATTACTTTTAAGCTCCCGCAATTAATCGCCTGAAATTATATTAGTCTTCCTAATTACCTCCAGGCAGGGAGACACTGAGGGCTCCAGCTGTATTGAATAGTGTCATCATGACATTTTCATTGTTAATATTGTTATGAAATTTTGAGATGGTAGATGCCGCCACTAGCTCTCCTTTATTGCTTGAAGCAATATCTTTGAGAAGAAGACGAAGGTCGTCTTTATATACTGCCTGTGGTGTTTTATAGATGCTTATAAAATCAATATATAAGACATTTCTGGTCTTGGATGCTGATTGGGCAATAAAGCATGGCGTAATCCACGAAGTGTTAACAGTTATGGTGCAAAACTCCTATTCATTGCTTGGCACCCTTAAAGGGGTCCTATTATGCTCTTTTACAAAGTCTTGATTTTGTTTTGGGGGTGTGTTAGAACAGGCTCTCATACTAGGTTGTTCGAAAAACACATTATTTTTCACATATTTTACATTATTACAACACCTCTCTCCCCAGTCTGGCATGAACGGCTCGAATAGTTCCTGTATCAAATGAAAGCCCGCCTTCTGAAATACGAAATGTGCTGTGATTGGTTAGCTGGGCCAGTGTGTGCTGTGATTGGTTAGCTGGGCCAGTGTGTGTTGTGATTGGCAGCACTCGTCGCCTGGTCGGGAAATATCATGCCCATTACCATAGCACCTGCGAGCTTCAGTGTAAATATTGTCAAAATCAAATCAATTTGAGTGCGATTTAAACCCGAATGATTGTAACCATCTAAGTTCGTCTGCCTTGGGAAAGCTAGCGTGTCTCCGACATAGTGATAACACTCGTTACCTTCTCTAGTGCAGCTCCACCAGGTCTCGTCCCATACGTCGATATTTGTGATATCACAAATCCCGGAAAATATGAGTTGTAGTCCAAACGAGTCATTTGTTGTAGTTTTTGAAAAGTGATTTCTGTTAAATAAAATATCTCCTTTTGAAGTGCACTTTGAGCTTTGTAACTTTGCAGATCTTTTTTATGCTCAAACAGCAACATTACACACTAACTAAAGTTGAAAAAGTGAAAAAGCATAATAGGACCCCTTTAAGACTCTGAGCATGTAAAATCAACCAGTGTTGATAACAGGATGTCATTCTATTCAAATCATTGTTCAACGCAGAAATAAGCTATTTCCTGTGAATGTACTTCTGATTCCTTTGCTATTATAGGTAAATAAATAGAAGAATAACAGTGCAAGTAAACAGTAAAAAATTTGTTTTTGTTTTTCATCCGTATTTTTGCTACAATCCAGTGTGTTTATGATTATAAATTAAAAAAAAAAGAATACATAGTTATAATAATAAATTTAAATAGTATGATGACAAATACCTGTTTGCAATATCAAGCCACATATTGGACAGTTTTTGTACAGCTAAAATAACTGGACGCCTCACACATTCAAGTTACAATTGTATGTGCTTGCCTTACTTAGTTTTTCAGGCCTTAAAAAGTCATGAGATCTAATAAAATCTTAATCCCTGAAATGGTCTATAGTTCATATACATTTTTCTAATTATGTTCATCTAATTTCAGGAGATACTACTTTTGTGTAGCTTGTATAAGCTATAGTGATGCCTGATTTTTAAATAATTTGTTCTTTTTAGTCTATTGTTTTCAGTGAACAAGATGAAGCTGTATACAGATCAGTCTAAATGATTCAGGTTCAAGTCTGAATCAAAATGATTTGCACAAAATGGATATGTACAAAAACTACACTGTTAAGCTACAGGTTTTTTTTTTTTTTTTGCATTTGCTGTTTGTGTTTTGCTGTTGTAATTTGTATTCTTAAATGTAGGGATGCACCGATATGAAAATTTTGGCCGATACCGATAACCGATTACTCTTTATTTTTGAAAGCCGATAACCGATATGTTGGCCGATAAATCTATATCCAAATTGTTATATACTTTTTGAGAGCCTGATTACAAAAAAGGTTTCATCATTAAAAGCCACATCCCAAACACTTCAACATAAGCAGCCTAGTTTGAACGGTGTACGTTTTAAAAATATTTTTACTCTCCCATTACCAAATGTAGTCATAAAAATGTCTTACAAATAAATAAAATAATGCAAACAAGTCACTGGACATCATTACACGTGTAAAGAATCAAAATGAATGCGCCATAGATCAATAAAACGGAATAGCCTCTGCACGGACAATAATTAAATGATTTTAATTACTAAACCATATTGTTGATGAAAATAATAAGAGAAAAATACAAGTGGTTGTTGTTATTAATAATGTATCAATGATTTTGAAAAAGTAACAAATTAATACCACTGTTTTAAATAGCAGCCGTTGAGCTGCGCGTGCTGAAGCTGAAGAGCTGAATGAACATGGTAAACTGAAGCGTTTTGCTGGCAGCTTATTTAACTCAAGGAAATGCATCCTGAGATTAATATTAATACAACAAACATAGTATTACAACTTATATATGTACAAAATGACGCAGTTATTGCATGCTATAGTCAGAATGTGTGATCCTGTTGTGGATGCGCTCTTCCCATATCAACGCGCTGAAACACGGCAACTAAACCCATAGAATTCACAACGTTTTATTATAATAATTTTCTCATTAGAATGTTATATACACGACATTCCCAATCATAGTTATTAATGTTGTGCACTGCTGTTTGAGTTTATCACTGGTAAACTGAAGCGCTCTTTTAACTTAACCAAACGCATTCTATATGAGATAAATCAGATATACATCAAATAAACACAATATTACAACGTAAAAACTGCACAAAAGGCTGCAAACGAACAGCGCGCATCTGAAGTGTCTCTGAAGGAAATAATGCATTATTTATCGGCTTTAAGATATCGGCCAAATTTTCTTATCGGGCCGATACCGATAACAGAAAAAATGAGCATTTATCGGCCGATACCGATATGGTGGCCGATATATCGTGCATCCCTACTTAAATGTAATTCTGATTTACAGTCGGGTTCCTTTCCTGCAGGTCTTTCCTTTTCTCCAAAGATGGCAACCCAAACAAGTGCAACGTTCACAATGAGACTGCATTGCACCTACTGTGCATGGGCCCGCAGATCCTGCTGAGTGAGGGGGCGCTGCAGCCGCGGATCAGCCGCCCCCAGGAGGATGAACGGAAGCGGGCTGAGTGCCTCCAGATGATCCTGCAGTGGACCGGAGCCAAGCTGGACCAGGGCGAGTATGAGAGAGCCAATGTCAATGCCACAGACAACAAAAAGAGCACCTGCCTGCACTACGCGGCAGCGGCTGGCATGAAGAACTGTGTTGAGGTAACAAGATTGTTTTTTTGTTTTTTTTTCTTATGTAGTTCAGGCCTTGAGTATGTATTTTTTGTATTTTCAATTGATTTAATGCAAAGCCTCAGTTTAGATTCAGCTCTGTTAGACTGTTTAGTATGTGGCCAAACTCCATGACCATGCAAGATTACTTTTCTGGTTTCACTGTAGGACTCTAGGATTGACTACTCCGTGAAGCCACTAACTAAGGGTTAGTCTTGTGTTTTACAGTTGTTAGTGAAGAACAATGCAGATTTGTTTGTGGAGAACGAGGACAGGGAGACGCCGTGTGACTGTGCGGAGAAACAGCATCACAAGGAGCTGGCGCTCAGTCTGGAGTCTCAGATGGTTTTCTCTCAGGATGCTGGAGCTCAGGAGATAGAAGCAGAGTATGCCGCCCTTGACCGACGAGAGGTATGGCTGTGTTAAAAACAGTTTTCTGAATTTAGATGTTTTAGCATTTATTTTTGATACATTAGTAAGTTTAGGATCAATAAAATTATTTATATATATATAAATAACTTACAATGTATAAACAACATACAGTGCCTCTGTGCCATTTGAAATTTTCTTCTAAAATGAGCATTTTTATCAGACTCCTATGTGTAGGTTCAGTCATTTCAAATTATGAGAAATGCAAATTTTATAAGAAAATTTCAGATGGCACTTACAGGCCTTTGCATCTAAACTCTTCTTCTTTTTTTTTTTTTGAAAGAAAGAAATTAACTTTTTTTATTCAGCAGGGATGCATTAAATTGCTCCAAAGGGACAGGAAATACATTTATAATGTTACAAAAGATTTTCATTTCATTACTGAAAAAAGGTGTATTACAGTTAGGGGTGTGCGATATTGACAAAATTATATCTCGATATTTTCTGAGATTTTATCGATAACGATAATTAGACGATATTTTGCTGAGTGTGTTATTGTGCTGGTACCTTAAGGACTGCCGAAGACAGCTGACTCCTAATGTTTTTAATATTCTTCATATTCTGTGTGGTGGTCAGTTCATACTGATAGAAATTAATCTTTTCCAATAAGTTTAAACTGATTTTTGCATTTTATGGGCATTTTTATGCTCCAAAGGGACAGGAAATACATTTATAATGTTACAAAAGATTTTCATTTCATATAAATGTTCTTTTGAACTTTCTTTTCATCAAAGATTACTGAAAAAAGGTGTATTACAGTTAGGGGTGTGCGATATTGACAAAATTATATCTCGATATTTTCTGAGATTTTATCGATAACGATAATTAGACGATATTTTGCTGAGTGTGTTATTGTGCTGGTACCTTAAGGACTGCCGAAGACAGCTGACTCCTAATGTTTTTAATATTCTTCATATTCTGTGTGGTGGTCAGTTCATACTGATAGAAATTAATCTTTTTCAATAAGTTTAAACTGATTTTTGCATTTTATGGGCATTTTTATCTTTATAAAGCCATTTTTTCTAAAAGTGTCCATTTATCTTTTGAGTCAAATTCTTACATTTATTCAGGGAATTAGAATAATAAGACATTTGGGCTGTTACCAAGCAAATTAAATCAACACAGAAGCTGCATCTGAAGTGGCATTTAGATGTATTTACACACATGTATTTTGTTTAATGCAAGACATGAATGCATTTAACCTGCAATTACAAATGCATAAATAATGTTTTGATATATTAAACATAAAACGTTGAATACTGATATTTGAAATTATTTAAAAAATGAAAAAAAGAAAAGAAAAAGCCGAAATTTGAAATTAATAATAATAATTGATAATGTCAAATCGCACATCGTTAAAACAACAATTACGATATTACCGCAGACGATATATATCGCACACCCCTAATTACAGTTTCCATTTTATATACATATAAACAGTACCATTCGTGTGACCCTGGACCACAAAACCAGTCATAAGGGTCAATATTTTCCGAAATTGAGATTTATACATCATCTGAAAGCTGAATAAATAAGCTTTCCATTGATGTATGGTTTGTTCGGATCGGACAATATTTGGCCGAGATACAACTTTTTGAAAATCTGGAATCTGAGGGTGCAAAAAAAAAATCAAAATATTGAGAAAATCGCCTTTAAAGTTGTGCAAATGAAAAAAAATAATGTTTTAATATATTTACAGTAGGAAATTTACAAACTATCTTCATGGAACATGATATTTACTTTATATCCTAATGATTTTTGGCATAAAAGAAAAATCAATAATTTTGACCCATACAATGTATTTATTGTTGGCTATTGCTACAAATATACCCCAACGACTTAAGACTGGTTTTGGTGTGTGTGTGTATATATAAATATATACTGTATTTAAAATATTTTCATATATAAATAATATATCTTCCTGTGCAAGGTTGTCTCAAGAAATAGTGATTTATGCAGTTATTTGCAATTTATGTAATAGCATATCTTGTAATTAACTTAAATGTTTTATTCCATTTGTTAAATTTGTTAAACAATTTATAGCCCAAAATATAATATAGGCAGAAGTTTGCAGACCTACAAACGGAGAAACTAACGTTGACTGTGCGTGTGAGAGTACAGCGTTATTTCATTAGTCATAGCTGTGTGCTGAGGAAGTGAGCTCAAGATAAATCATAACTTGGTAATGTACTGTCAAAGGATAGGGCACCAGTTGAAAGAGGATAGACCCAACTGCCAGCAGCAGACTCATGATTGCTTCGTTTTGCTGCTCCAGACAGGCTGAGCAATATAGAAGTTTAAAAGGAAAAGCTTTATTAGTTCTCTTTGCATCACTTCTCCTCTTACACGCTCTTTCCTTTACACTTTTCATCTTTATCCCTCTTTCTCCCAAACTTGACATTCTCTTCTTTTTCTCTCCAGCCATATGAGGGATTGAAACTGCAAGACCTGCGTCGGTTGAAAGACATGTTGATAGTGGAGACGGCGGATATGCTGCAGGCTCCTCTCTTCACGGCTGAGGCCCTGCTGCGAGCTCACGGTATGAATTTACTGCAGCAAACAATTCCACTCAGCCAATGATATTACTGGATTTATACGTATGCTATATATATAAATATTTTTTTACAATAATTGGCATCACAAGTGAATCCCGAGGTAGTTGGGAAAAATCTTTTAGATTTTGTGAACACAAATAAAAAGCCTCTATATGTATAAATATCATCTGATCCCTCTACCATAGTTTTGCTGCAGTACGTATTTGTAAAACATTAGCGATGAAAAGGTAATATATAGCAGAGGGCTGTCATTGTGCCAGCTGATCCATTTGATCAATTAAAGAAATATGCCATATTTGGCCAATATCCAAGACCCTTCATTCTTCAAGATATTACAAGCAAAAGGGTTTGGCTCATCTTCATTATTGTGCAAACCAGAACATTCCATGCTTAATCTTTACTGAAGTATTTGGCACCAATTTCACATTTAACATTCAGAGATGGAAGGTGGATTCAGTATTTTTTGAAAAGTAAAATGGCAAAATGTGGAATTCTCTTGGAATATTATATAGATGGCAACTGTTTCATGCCCTAAACAGGCAATATGTGACCAGGTTCCAGCTCCAAGCAACTTGTCTGTACACACTTTTTTGGTAATGTTGAGAAACACTGCGTTAGAGGAACATATTAATGTCTGTACGTTTAAATCTTCTTTTTGCTGAACAGACTGGGACAGGGAAAAACTTCTAGAAGACTGGATGTCTAATGCGGAGGACTGCTGCCAGCGCTCAGGTGTTCAGATGCCAACTCCCCCACCGAGTGGCTACAATGCTTGGGACACTCTGCCTTCTCCTAGAACCCCGAGAACAACTCGCTCCTCTGTCACCTCCCCTGATGAGATCAGCCTGTCTCCTACTGATGGCCTTGCCCTGGTTAGATTAATCACCATGCATGACGTTATGATCCACATTCTTTATTATTCATTCAATGCACAAAAACTGAAAAGAATATTGACAGTCTGTTCAATGTTTCTTATGCCCATGTAGTGTGGAATTTGCATGGGCAGCATATCTGTGTTTGAGGACCCTGTGGATATGTCGTGTGGGCACGAGTTCTGCAGGGCATGCTGGGAAGGGTAAGGAATGAATTATGAAGTTTTGTTTAATGCTCAAGATCAGATCATATCAGATATTTTCTTAATAATACATCCATTACAGGTAACTACTTACACTACCAAGTTTGGTGTCAGTAAGATTTTTTTTTTTAAATACATACATTATTAATTTGACAAGAATGCATTAAATGGATCAATAGTGACAGTAAAGAAATTTGTAACATTACAAAAGATTTCAAATAGAAATAAACATGGATGTTTTCAACTTTTTTTATTCACCAAAAAATCCTGAACAAAATATATTTCGGTTTCCACAAATTTTTTTGTAGCACAACTGTTTTCAGAAAAGTTTCTTGAGTGCAAAATCAGCATATTAGAATGATTTCTGGAGGACCATGTGACACTGAAGACTGGAGTCATGATGCTGAAAATTCAACATTGCTATCACCGGAATAAATTACATTTAAAATATTAAAATAGCATCTAGAAAAGTTGTTTGAGACGGCGGATATGCTGCAGGCTCCTCTCTTCACGGCTGAGGCCCTGCTGCGAGCTCACGGTATGAATTTACTGCAGCAAACAATTCCACTCAGCCAATGATATTACTGGATTTATACGTATGCTATATATAAATATTTTTTTACAATAATTGGCATCACAAGTGAATCCCGAGGTAGTTGGGAAAAATCTTTTAGATTTTGTGAACCCAAATAAAAAGCCTCTATATGTATAAATATCATCTGATCCCTCTACCATAGTTTTGCTGCAGTACGTATTTGTAAAACATTAGCGATGAAAAGGTAATATATAGCAGAGGGCTGTCATTGTGCCAGCTGATCCATTTGATCAATTAAAGAAATATGCCATATTTGGCCAATATCCAAGACCCTTCATTCTTCAAGATATTACAAGCAAAAGGGTTTGGCTCATCTTCATTATTGTGCAAACCAGAACATTCCATGCTTAATCTTTACTGAAGTATTTGGCACCAATTTCACATTTAACATTCAGAGATGGAAGGTGGATTCAGTATTTTTTGAAAAGTAAAATGGCAAAATGTGGAATTCTCTTGGAATATTATATAGATGGCAACTGTTTCATGCCCTAAACAGGCAATATGTGACCAGGTTCCAGCTCCAAGCAACTTGTCTGTACACACTTTTTTGGTAATGTTGAGAAACACTGCGTTAGAGGAACATATTAATGTCTGTACGTTTAAATCTTCTTTTTGCTGAACAGACTGGGACAGGGAAAAACTTCTAGAAGACTGGATGTCTAATGCGGAGGACTGCTGCCAGCGCTCAGGTGTTCAGATGCCAACTCCCCCACCGAGTGGCTACAATGCTTGGGACACTCTGCCTTCTCCTAGAACCCCGAGAACAACTCGCTCCTCTGTCACCTCCCCTGATGAGATCAGCCTGTCTCCTACTGATGGCCTTGCCCTGGTTAGATTAATCACCATGCATGACGTTATGATCCACATTCTTTATTATTCATTCAATGCACAAAAACTGAAAAGAATATTGACAGTCTGTTCAATGTTTCTTATGCCCATGTAGTGTGGAATTTGCATGGGCAGCATATCTGTGTTTGAGGACCCTGTGGATATGTCGTGTGGGCACGAGTTCTGCAGGGCATGCTGGGAAGGGTAAGGAATGAATTATGAAGTTTTGTTTAATGCTCAAGATCAGATCATATCAGATATTTTCTTAATAATACATCCATTACAGGTAACTACTTACACTACCAAGTTTGGTGTCAGTAAGATTTTTTTTTTTAAATACATACATTATTAATTTGACAAGAATGCATTAAATGGATCAATAGTGACAGTAAAGAAATTTGTAACATTACAAAAGATTTCAAATAGAAATAAACATGGATGTTTTCAACTTTTTTTATTCACCAAAAAATCCTGAACAAAATATATTTCGGTTTCCACAAATTTTTTTGTAGCACAACTGTTTTCAGAAAAGTTTCTTGAGTGCAAAATCAGCATATTAGAATGATTTCTGGAGGACCATGTGACACTGAAGACTGGAGTCATGATGCTGAAAATTCAACATTGCTATCACCGGAATAAATTACATTTAAAATATTAAAATAGCATCTAGAAAAGTTGTTTTCAATTATAACAATATTTAACAAATATTACTGTTTTTTTTTTATCAAATGAATGTGGCCTTGGTAAGCATAAGAGATTTCAAAAACATTCTAAAATATTTCAGACTCCAAACTGTTAAACGGTAGTGTATGTGCTGGAATAGTTTATAAATGGAATAGCTATAAACGTCAAATATATAGTTTTTATACTTATAATCATTGACTATTTCAGATATGTATTTGACCATTTCCTGTTTGTTTATGGCATTTGCAATGCTTCATGTGATGAGTAGTTCTTTCCCTCAAAGAAAACCCTTTTTGTTTTGCTTCAACGATGTTGTTTTTTGACATTTTTAAAATCCTGTGAATAAAATGAATAGGAAAATTCACCTCAGCTAAAAAAAAAAAAAAAATTATATTGCAGGTTGTTTATGATCCATGTATTCACAGTCTCTGAACACTGTTTGTCTGGATGTCAGGTTTTTGAATCTGAAGATCCAAGAAGGGGAAGCACATAACATATTTTGCCCTGCTTACGACTGCTTCCAGCTGGTTCCTGTGGAGGTCATTGAAAGTGTTGTCTCCAGAGAGATGGATAAGCGCTACCTGCAGTTTGACATTAAGGTACAATTGCAGCTCACAAAGCACCAGAAACCATTTAAAAGCTGCCATTTTATTTTTCTTATCATAGACTCTCTTGACGTTGGCTTTGAGTCAAAATGCTGACAGCATCCGGCTGTTGGTTGAGTTTATGCCAGTGTTTGTTTGAGCAAAAAAATAAGCTTTTGTAAACACAGATGCTCAGAAGTCAAATATTCGATTGTTGGGTAAATATCACGTCGATTTGATTTGGATGATTTACAGATTACAATTTTGGATATTGGGTCATTTACGTCATCCAAAACAAAGAGGAAGTTTAAACATTTCTTTTCCATCACCAGGCTTTTGTGGATAATAATCCTGCCATTCACTGGTGCCCCATAGCCAGATGTGAAAGAGCCGTACGACTGACTAGGCCAGGCCCTGGAGCTTCTGACCCTCGGAGCTTCCCCTTGCTCAAAGCCCCCGCTGTAGACTGTGGCAAAGGCCATCTCTTCTGCTGGTACGTTAACCAGCTGTTTCCTTTATTTACACTCTCAGAACAAAAGGTGCAAAGCTGTGTCTGGGGTAGTACCGTAAGGTACGAAAGCTAAAAAGTACATCTAAAAACCTCTAAACTATACATATTAGTACTCAAAAATAAAAACATATGTATATATAAAAATATATTTTTAAAGATCATTGTGAGTTTTTTTTAATGTTTTGACAGTATTTAATTATCAGTTGAGCACATTTCTTCTTTTTCCCTTGCATTACTATAATATGTCTTTGCATTTTTTTGAGTTTTGAAATTCTTATTATTCTTTGTGGTGATTTGATTCTCATTACTGTAATACAGTAATTTATTGCTGCAAAATGTGTATATATATATATATGTGTGTGTGTGTGTATTATATATTTTTAATAATTAGTGCTGGGGGTGTGGCTTGTGGGCGTGACTTCTTTTTTGTCTCTACATGCCTTATATATATATATATATATACAGTGGGTACGGAAAGTATTCAGACCCCCTTAAATTTTTCACTCTTTGTTATATTGCAGCCATTTGCTAAAATCATTTAAGTTAATTTTTTTTCCTCATTAATGTACACACAGCACCCCATATTGACAGAAAAACACAGAATTGTTGACATTTATGCAGATTTATTAAAAAAGATCTAAATACTTTAAAAGTAAATAAAAGCAATTAAACTTGTGCTTTTTTCCCCATTTCATTTTTTGTGCATTTATGGCAATGAGAGCTTGCGGGGCTGGTGGATACAAAAACCTTTAACAGCCCTAAAAAGGAATCTTTTTGTTAAAGTACTGTATTTTGTTTCTTTTGATTTTGATGGGATAATGTTTCTGAGAGATTTCATGAGATCACCATCTTAATGTTCATCCTGGAAAATGCCATCAAAGCACTGTTCATGTTTATCTCTCGGGTTTCTTCTCAGGGAGTGTCTTGGTGATGCTCATGAACCTTGTGACTGTGAGACATGGAAGATGTGGCTGCAGAAAGTGTCTGAAATGAAGCCTGAAGAATGTAGGAGCTCCAGACAATTCAGTCTGCACCTTTACTTAATATATGCACCTTCACCTATACCTTATTTAATGGATGTTCATGATATACTACTTGCTTTGCATTAATTGATGTCTAGTTCGAGTCGATCTTGTTCGGTTCATCAGCTGAACAGTTTACAGCATTTCACATCCCCCACACACACAACTACCAACGAACAAGGCCCAGTGCAATTAATAGATGCACGCACAATTATACATGTACTGCATACATTTTATACATGTATCTTACTAACCATAAACAAATACCTTTCAATTTGAGTCTCTGGAATTCAGGATTAAATGATTGTGCAGCGATTTGTACAAATACAGATGTTTGCGAATAAAAATGTTCTGTTCTGCGTTAATATATCATAAATTACTCATGCAAAAAGGGATCCGTGCATATGTGGATCAGGTGACATGCTTGCATTAATTGATGTCTAGCCGCACTTTTAGCCTTGCCCAATCCACACACACACAGCTCGTGCAGCTGAGCCACAGAAAATCAGCGACCACTAGATGGCACTAGCCCCAGTCACATGTGCGCATTCCATTGAGTACGGTTTCATGAATGTTACATTGTGTTTTCTTAGTTTCTTTTTGGTTTGGCTATTCTCCTCTACCTTAGAAATATAATAAAGATGTATTATTGAACTGTTCTAACTTAACTTGTCTTAAGACACAGAATAGCTTATATTAATTTTGCCAAACAAGAACTTTGTGACGGTTTTCTGTAATTCTACGGCACGTTGCCAGTTATTCCTTCCTTGTATTATTATTATTATTATTAAAAGGGCTATTATAGTTGCTCATTGAAGCCATTAGTAATCGCACGTTTATATTTAATTAAACTATTAAATTAACTTATACTAAACAAGCGTTTTATAGGCTATAGCCTATTCCTCGCTCAAGCGGAACGCATAAATTGCTAGAACATTTTATTTAGGCTACTTATTACTAAACCATTTTCTGAGTCATTGTCTGCAAAGATGAAGTTGACGATGCTGATGAACGATTTTATTCTCAATATTTTATTTCTACATTTAAATGTAGTTTAATCTCGCATTATAGGATAATGACTTTATTCTGGAGATGTTTTTTTTTTAAATTGTTTGGCCATATAGTCCTCTTTCTTACTCTCTCATTTGACACAAATCCAAATGTTTTTATATTCACAATGTTGGCTGTTTGAATTTGAATGCAACAGACTATTATTTATTAGGCCTATGTAAACCAGGCTTTGTACTTAACCCGCTTTCCAAAAAAAAATAAAAAAAAAATAAATATGGTCGTCTTCACATGAGCAAATATGTGCTTGGCCCGAGCTCAGGCTGAACGGCACGGATTGTACTAAAGGCTGTTTTAACTAACTAGTGTATCTAGATTCTATAGTGTATCTATATGTTTGGTTGACTATTTTATTCTGATAATGAACAGGCTGCAGCGTTTGCAATGCTGTAGGCCTATATGAAAGGTGCATTTCTCTCGTACTGTGGAGATGGCTAATCAGCATCGTCAACTTCATCTTTGCATAATAATAATAATAGCAGCCTACAAGAAAGGAATAACTGACAACGTGCCGTTGAATTACAGAAAGAAAGAAAAAATCTAGGTACCGTCACAAAGTTCTTGTTTGGCAAAATTAATATAAGCTATTCTGTGTCTTCAAAGTCAAAAGTCAAAGTCAAAGTCTGCTTTATTGTCAATTCTGCCACATGTACAGCACATACATACAGAGAATTTAAATTGTTTGTCTCATCTCTGTTGCTAATGAGACCCACTACAGTCGTGTCATCCGCAAGCTTAATAAAGAGGTTGGAGTTGTGTGATGTGTGCAGTCGTGTGTCAGCAGAGTGAAGAGGAGGGGGCTCAGCACACATCCTTGGGGGGCCCCAGTGTTCAGTGTGATGGTGCTGGATGTGTTACTGCCGACCCGTACTGCCTGAGGTCTCCCAGTCAGGAAGTCCAATAGCCAGTTGCACAGCGAAGTGTTGAGCCCCAGCTG